TTTAATCTGATTTTTCTGTATAGTTTTGTTTTGGTTTCTCTCCACCTATTTTAATAAGAAGTCTTTCAGTTTGGGCTCTGGGTGAGTTCTGAGAATATTACTTCTCATTTTTGATTAATATCTTAAAATTATTATCTCTTTACACTAAACTTTGTGAAGATGTAATTTCTGAGCTGATTCAATATAATGAATCACATTTCCTTTGTTCCTAAGCCATTTAGAGAAATGCAGCAGATTTAATCTGCTCTTCACTAATAGAAATTGATGCAGTATCACATGGAATGTTCATTACAGCAGAGAAAATGGGAAGAAGTAGAGGAACCATGTGACAGGTAAGAAACTGACCAATGAAATATGAAAAAGAACTGAAATGGGATTTGTCTTCATATGAGAAGGTTAGTAAAGTTCCTAAAAAGTTAGTCTTGGTTCTGATGTTATTTAAATACTTCCTTAGGGATTTGGCACAGAAGTGTCAATGTGATAATAAATTTTGTTGAAGATATAGAATTGGAAAGCACTTTAAATACAGAGTATCAAGTGTCCAGGTATTGCAGGCTAGTCCCCAAGGTATTATTAGTGTATACCCTGTGCTAGTGACCTTCCATTTTAGTATAAAAGCACACAAGCTTCTAAATGTAAAGCTTACATCTCTTTCATCGATACAGAGAGGCAGGCGCCTTTGGAGTCCTCATGAGTGCCTAATTTAGGTGCTAAACCTTGGACAAATACATCTTTGCGCTAGAGATAAATCATTAGATACTTAAAATGGAGGCATTATGTAGTTACCTAAATTAAATGAACTGGATTCATCCCTACGAACATATGGATTTGACATGTGAGACCTACCAGAGTGGAACCTAAAATATAGAAATAAAAACCTTGATTATGTATTAGGGTAATCCAGAAATGACACTGTTGTGTGAGGAATCCTCTTTAAACTACCCCATAGCAAACAAAGAAGTTTAGAAGGGAAGCATGCCAAAAGCACATTCCTTTATATAGCTTAAGCAAGAATCCTCATTGGATTTCCTTTTCAAATTCACAAAGTGAAGGAAGATGAGGTATCACTTAGCACTATAAGGGTTTGGGGGTAAAAAGCTTTCTCCAGCTAATTAGAGATGGGCCAGGATGGACTCAGGTGTAACAGAAGTCCTTAATATTTTTAAAGGGACTGAAAATCCTGAGGTAGATGCTTTTACATACACAGATTGACTACATAACCTGTATAAGACAGGAAACTCAAACTTTCTTACATCAGACACTTATTCTTCTATTCACAGACATGGGTAGAGGTTTATGAAGTCTGGAAGTGACAGATAAAACTGCACTCTGTACTTGTAATTTCCGTATTTTTAAGTTGCAAATGATACTCAGTCTCACCAACTTTTTATCTTTTTCCTGCCCTTGAATGAGTTAAAAGAAAAATGACTGGATTTCTGCAGCAGTAATAACTACTCAGTATATCCTAGCATAGCTTGTCTCTCTTCTGCCACAAACAGCATATTTAATGCTATTTCTAATGTTTTTCAAATGCTGTCAGGTAAGACTTTTCCTATGTAAGGTTGCACACAATTAAAGGGCAAAATATTGAGGAATGTACTATTTCAGTTAGTAATGTTTCGTTTACTCACCTTCATTGATTATTTAAGCTTCAAGTGCTTTGATTAGTTTTTATACATTTCCTGTGGGTTTGAAAGATTTATTGATGACTGTTAGTGCTGTAACACCTCAGTTGTTGTTAGGCTGGAGATACGTTTTACAAGGACTCCAGCAAGGACTGCCCAGCATCATAAAAGAGCAATAAAATTGGGGACTTTTTGATTGCTTGTTCATTTAGATAAATCAAGAAATGTTCATGATTTAATGAGTCAAGACTTTAAAAAAATAGCACACCATGCAAAAGCTTTCAAGTTGCTTACAGCTAACAGGGTTCTGTATGCCCTGATATGCCAGGAAACACTTGTGCTTTTCTGCATGGTACTGCACTGCATGATGTTCTATTCCTCAGGTATGTGGAGCTCTTGAATAACAAAACTCCACAATTTCAGAACCCAGGAAAGCAATTTAGGATGGTACAACAAACATATACTCTCTTTATGAGCTAGTTGGGAAATCTACACAGAATAGTGCATTTAGATGCTGCCAAACCCTTCTGTGTGTGTAAATCTCTCGCTAGGTCGAGTCCTCTGTGTCTCAGAGGAGTTCATTGCTTCTTTTTACAACTCAGTCTGTAACCTTGAACAGAAAACCACAACCCAGTAGGAGTCAATTAACTTAGAATTATTTAATAATTATTTAGTTTCCAACTAAAATGGAAATGGGGTTTCATAAACCCCATTAACCCCATTAACTATCCTCAATGAAAGCCTTACAGATTGGAAGGAAACAGCAAATGTCTACACGTGCCACTCTCAAACTATAACCTTACTATAGGAAGTAATGAAAGCAAAGGAAACAAAGCACAAATGGGACCAAATGCTGCATTGCTGCCACTCTGTAAACAAGAGCTGTCTTTTGTGAGATGTCTCTAAATGATGCATTAGCCACATTGAGACATCTCGGAATAAAATTAGGATGTCAGTATGGTTCTGCCAGTTTTATATTGAAGATTTTTCAGTATTGGGAACATCTTGAGGCTTTAAATACCCATTAAAATGATCTGTTTCCTCACAGAGCAAAGTAGGAAAGGTATTAAAAAACCTGCTACCAGCTTGAATTAATGACTAATCCAATAATGTTCATGCAACACCAGGGCAATTAAAATTATTTTTAACATTTTCAAATTTGCATTTAAGAAAAAGCTAACCACATTTTCCTACCACCTTTCAAACCCTTTATTTCCCTTGAAGATAAGCTTTCCAACACTCACTTTTTTTTTTTCCCTGGGAAATTATTATGTATTACCTTTTAGGGCTCTAAATCAGCACTGTAATGATAGAGTGAAATGGTTAGCTTATTCCATTAAAAATACAGTGGTAGAGTCAGACTGTAAAGTTGTTAACTCTTTCCTCCTCACTTTATTGTATCTATGAACATACAAGCACATCTATGAATGCGCAATTTTAAAACCTATAAAATCAAAGTTTAATCTACATATATTTAAAATAAAAATTCCAGCTAACATAAAATATAAAACTGCTTTCCAGGGAGACAGTTTTCATATGCCAAGTCAGGGCATACTTCTCTGTTCCCATGCACTTCAAATTTTTGTTACTAGACAAAAGTTGTACTAAGATCAAGAACAGAGGTAATGGGTATCCCATAAATGCTCTCACATCACAGCATCCAATAACCACCGACAGATGTTTAATTTTTTCCTTCAGGGTGGAAGTACATTTATCCCTATTGTGATGAGATGTTACAGGTATGATATTGGGTCACAGATTTTTTTTTTTTTTTTAGAGTATTTAAGGAGAGAAATATCATTATAATTACATTTTGAAAATATCAAAGGAATAGAAATTCATATGTGCCCTTTAACTCATTCATTGCTTCGAGAATGTGTTTTAGGAAGACATTCAGTTATCATATCAGTGTAATTAAAAGAACAACCACACTTCTTGTTGAACTGTCTCAGCAGTTAATTGCCTTCAGTAACTGTTTTGTTTTGAAATATAATATAAGCATCAATTTCTAGATTTGATAAATGATCTCTTTAGATTATCTTCCTAACTTCAGGTTAGGCATTCTATATAAAAATCTGGAAATTGTATTAAAATCATTCTCATCTGTTTGTGAATTATTAAATAAATATTATTTATAATGGCAACTAGGATTAAAACTTAATATCTGATATCTTTTTATAAATAGCATAAAACTAAATAATTCCCTGAATGGACTTTTCTTTGTATGAATATCCAGAAACATACATACAGCTTTGAAAATGTGTGCCTATTTTTAAAAATAAAATAACTGAAAGAGGTAGAATTAATGTTTAAGAACACTGCTTACTGCTTAAAAAAAAAAAAAAAGCAAAACCACTGCATCATATTTCATGATTACATATGTCAAAAAGGGTGATCATTTTTACTATAGCTACTTCACAGACAGGGAAGGTGGTTTTGGTCTGAAGCCTAAGTATCATGATTCTCTAGGGCTGTATTTTAAAATGCTCTAATGCTGTTTAATATTTTACATCCAGCATATTATATGCTTTGCGGTGTAAGATATATTTGTTCCGTTCCTGCAATACTTGGCACCACTTCTTCCATCCATCCTGCATATCTACACTGGATCAACTATGCATTTCATTTAAATGAGAGTGTTTCATTCAGTACGGCTACCTGAAAAATATGGATAAACTGAACTAGGCACTGCCACACTGTCAGCAATCTTAGTCTCACTGAGAGGAGGTTAGAGAAGGTATTGCGCTTCTAAACCCACTCACACTGTTTCCCATTAAATTTTCTCCTGCCAGTGCTAATTTCTGTTTATAACTCTGAAGTTCTCCTATACTAGTGTGGTGGAGATAAAATTAAGAAACTGCTTTCAGCTGTCCCCATACAAATTAACTATAAACTGAAATCTCTCAGTAGTGTTAATTAATAAGTTCTTCCCTGACAGTGCAAACACAACCTTTGTAAAATTTCACATTGATGTAATTCTGTAACTGACTTATACGGCTAACCAGATCTAACCTAGACTAAAGTTAGAATCTACAACACAGATAACCTATTAAGAACAAATGGTTTTATCAATATATTAAATAATATTCTACACAATTACTTAAGGATGGATTATACAGGATAAATGCAAAATTTCTCACCTAAAAATCAAATCAGAGAAAAATTTGAGATTGTGGTAATGGTAGCTAAAGCTGTATTTAATAAAACAGTTTTCCACCGCTTTGTATTTGCACTTAAAGCTTAAAGAATCAGCATCAAATTAATGTATTGTTGAGCAACACATATTTGGGAACATATGATATTATTTAAGCTATTTATTTTCTTTCTTTTTTTGAAAGTCTACATATTATAATAAGTAAGACTTCAAAAAAAAGATTATAGGTCAGATGTGGTGGCAAAACTAAAGATCTTGCCATCAGTTTGAAACAAGTTTGACGTAGAGATGGCTACATCCAGGTTTTCTGTTTCAGGATAAAGTTTGATGATTATTTCTGAACCAGAATGGAAACGAATATTTTCAGAATTCCTATCAAACATAAATTCTAAAAATATTTTCTTCTTCAAAAGTCTGATTTTGGAAGCATTTATGGTGCCTAAGGGGACTTGTCAGCTCATGTAATGTACTTCATTGTCACAGATGTATTATGCAAATTCATTTTGCTTGAAGTGTCACCATCTAGGTCACTCTAGGTCACATTCTTTCTGTCCTTTCTATGCTGTCTGTCTGCCAATTTTATGAAGTTGCCGATGGTTTCCTCTCCACTGTTCTCTCCATCTGTGTTTACCTTATATGCAATGTTATCCATGGGAACATGGGCTACTGCCACTGTTTCTGTGGTGATTTGACAGTTGGACCCAAGCATGCTCAGCTGTACATCCTCAGCTCAGGTCATTGACTTCTTTGCTATAGAGGGCTATTTCACTTAGCATTTTCCTAACTGTGACAGGGTCTGTTATTTATCTAATGAGGTTCAGATGACTTCAGGGGATAAAGATGATTTTTTCTAGATCGTCAGACTTTGCTTTGTTACCTGGGAATATATTTTGCTGAATCCAATACTAGCAGGTAGGTATCCTTTTCTGTTTGTTTGCCCTTGCCATCAGTTTCTTGGATGTCTTTCCAGGGGATTATGCATGCCTACTGCTATCCATTATGTTTTCAGATTCCCAGATGCCACTGAACCACTTGAATTCTCCTGCAATGTGTTCATTTCCTGAGCCAATGTCAGATAGGTCAGAAATTGTAAAATCTATCTTTAGTTCCCTCACCACACTTTTTTTGCCCTCCAGATAGACTTTCTCTGAGAAATTTAGAAATTAACCGTCTATCATCCCTGTATTTCCTAAATCCTGACCTGGTGTTTTCTAGGTTCAGTTGAGAATTTGGTAAGGCTATAAATCTTCTGTATTGTTTGCACTCTTCTCACTGTTTCAACATATGCCAAAAAAGTTTACTGATCGAGACCCTAGTCTACTTTCATGCAATTATAAACATACATTTTTCTTAAGTCTCCTCTTAAATCTGCAAGGGTTATCTGCACAGTTCCCTCAGTAATTTGGAATATTTGCTCCTTAAGATCTGTGCATCTGTTCAGCCTCCTTCTCAGTCACTTTCATGAAGTAAGGGTATGGTAGCAAGCTGATGGAATCAATATTTCACTTTTCGGAGCTATGTTCTCAAAATCTTCTCGTTTATGTCAGCTTGCCAACAGCTGTCAGAGGCAAAATATTTCCAAATAGAGGAATTTTATTCAAGTTTCATTTGAAATTCATGTGAACTTTTGATAACTGATTTAGGTACTGAGAAAAAAAGGGAAAATATACACAATTAAATGTTGGCACTTTCCTCCCCTCTCCCTAGGCTCAACTGCTCATTGCTGCCAGTTAACATGATTCCAGTCTTCAAGATGTTTCCACACTGCCTTAGACACCATCCAGGAGTCTGTACATACATATACCGAGGCCAGTGATACTCCTGAATATGTTCCAAGGCTATTTTCAAGGCCATTACTTCTGCAAACTGACTAGAGCTTCCAGTCCCTTCACAGGTGGCAGCTTCTTCCGTGGAGGGATTCCAAATAGCAGCTCACCACCTCCTGATCCCTGCTGTAATTTTACAAGATTCATCTGTAAACAAACTCCATTGTTTGTTTTCAGCACTTAATTCATCATATGCTTGGGCTTCAACAGCCTCTCACATTGTTAATTTACTGACTGCAGACTAATAAACTCAGCTAATCCCAATCTGGAGCTTGAACCAGCACATGCCTACTGGGTAAAGGCCAGCACATATTTTTTTCCTTCTAGCACTGGTTGCTCCTCCATCAGTTGGTTTTGAATTCTTGAACAAAAAATTCAGGACAGGTAATCTAAGGTATAACCACAGTGGCTGCTCTGTGCCTAACACTTCAGTGGCATGCAGAATAACCTTATCTGCAGCTTGAACATTTTGCTCCACATAAATGAGTTATTTTTGGGTCTTTTGTAGCTTCAGGAGCTCAGTCTCCTCTCATGTGAGAGATGTTCCAGTCCCTCAATAATCTTAGCTGTCCTTTTCTGGACTATCTCCAGGATCTTCTTACCTCTCTCACATCCACTCCTGGATATCCCTTTGTATTCAAGCTTTTGAAAATAATGCTTCTTTCAGGCAAAATGGTCTTGACTTGGAGCATATAGTTTAATTTAATGCCAACTGAAAAAAAATATTTATTGTTGATTCAGGTACTGACGAAAAATAAAACAACAAAACAAAACCATAAACAATCAAACAGTTAGGAAACACCTTTCTTCCCCTTTTGCCAGGCTCAAGTTCAGCCAAACATGTTTCTTACTGCCCAGTAAGTTTTGATGCACAATGAAGCACTCACACAGGTGTCAGAGCTGGTTAGAACTGGTTCATGGTTTCCTCCCATACTAGCTACAACTGCTGCCCCTGTAGTGAAACACTACCAGCTATGCCAAATACAATAGGAGAGCCATTTTTTGAGCAGTACAATGTTATGACTCCAGACTGAAGAGATTTAACATTTATACATTTAACGTATTAAATGCCTTTAATCTTCATTGCATTTTCTTTATGGAACTCTTTGAACATGATAATGTGACTAAAAATGTTACATTTGTCTTGAAAACTACTTCTGGAAAGTGATTCTGAAGAAACAGCCTTTAAGAATCATGTTTCAAGTACACCCTGTTTTATATCTCCTAAACACTTACTGATAGATGCTTCTTTCTATCAACCCATGGTGCCTCAAACACCATTTCAAAACAGTGTATTGCTGTTCCAGTTTCTGAAGTAGTAAGGTTCTCTGGAAGTTGACTCTTTCCATAGTGCCACTTTGCTGTCTTCCAAAGTAATTCTTTATGCACTAATCAAATACTGTTCTTAACTCTGGATCTGACAAGCTACTTTAGTTACATTAACTCAGTATGAAGATGAAACCACATCAAGTTTCTAAAGATAATTTATTTTTTTTAATAAAGAAAATTCATTATTAATTTATTTAGATTATGTACAGCAAGAATCTTAGCTATAAATGAGCTGCTGTCATGATTTCTTCCTTCAAAACATATCCTGCCTTAACTGCTACTCTTCTAAATCTAATCCTAGTCTGGTTGAAACTAACGTAGTTACCAGTATACTTAAGCATGACTGCAGACAGCACAGTTATCCTTCAGTAAGAAAAACAGGCACTCACCTTCTATTCCTGTGTGCTTGTGTACTGTTGCCAATTCCTACTGTAAGAAGGATTTCTTTAAACATCAATTCTCAGAGATAAGTGTTTTCATTTAAATTATACTTGCAGAGGGAAGTTGAGTAACATCTTATGGCCACAATACAGCAGTAACAGGAAAGATGACAACATGATTACTTCGAAGAAGTAATTTAGAAGCTTAATTTAGAAACCACTCTTAGGATCGAAGATGGTGGGATGGGGACTGTGAATCATGCACCCATACACATTTTAAAATTTTGGTGGTGCTGCCCAAAGTTATTAGGTTACAGTGCACTGTTTAAAGGATTCTTGTATTTGGTAAGTCAAAATAACTCTGCAGAAATTTCATGAAACATGGGCAAAGGCAATTTAACTGATACTGGATTCTGTGAATCTGTGACAATTTAAGATATCAGGAGGTCCTTTCCTGACCAATATTTAGCTTTCTCTTGATGTAGGCATTAATATCTAAAATCAAAGTACATCACTTTGCATCCAGCTGGATTATTTATTTGCCCAGATGTTGTATGGGGAAAAAAGTGACTGGAGAAGAGGAAGAAGATATATGTGCCTATGCTCTGGCTGCATTTTTCCTATTCATTCCTTTAATTTGCACTTCAGAAGATAGCCTGGCACAGTCTACTCTGGCGGGTTGAAGCAGGGGAAGTTCCGCTAGTACTTCAGCTACATCCCTTCCTTTGGGAAGAAAGGAATATACTGGGCTGCCTCCTTAGGTTGTCCTCCCCTTGAAAAAGCTCTGTCCATAATTATTGTTTAGGAAAGTTCCACGTGAGGTCAATATAAACGTCACCGGAATGAGGATGAATAGACTGTTCCCCTCATTTTACCAGACACATTCTACTCATTCTTACACATCCATTGAAAAGACCTGCTTGTGTCTCATTTTCTAAAACAATTCAGGGTACCTTGAATGCAAAAGACAGTGCATAAAACCAGATTTTATTACTTTTAACCTTAAAAAAAAAAAAAAGAAATAGAAAGCCATGAAGAGAAGTAAAAACATCGCTATATGATGACATCATACTAAAGCATTTTAGACTTCACTGTCATCCATTTGTTAATCTGAGCTAACAAACTTCAGTCTACGGTGAAACAGGCTCTTTAGGTAGGACAGGCTGGTGAGATGAGAATGGGGTGTTGCCCTCTACATCAGTGACCAGCTGCAGTGCATGGAGCTCCATCTGGGGATGGATGAGGAGCTGACAGAGAGTTTATGGGTCAGGACTAAAAGAAGGGAAGGGACCCAGGATATTACAGTGGGGGCCTGCTACAGGCTGACTAGGATGAGGCCCTCTCTAGCCAGACAGGTGCAGACTCACATACATAAGCCCCAGTCCTCGTGGAGGACTTCAGCCAGCCTGATATCTGTTGGAGGGACAACACAGCAGGGCATAAGAAATCCAGCAGGTTCCTGGAATGCACCAGTAACTTCCTTCTCCAAGAGACAGAGAAGCCAATGAGGAAGGTTCTATGCTGGACCTTGTTCTTACCAACAGGGAGGGGCTGGTGAGGAATGTGAAGCTCCAGGCCATCCTTGGCTGCAGTTACCACAAAACCCTGGAGTTTGAGATCTTTAGGGCAGTGAGGAGGATGCACAGCAAACTCATTACCCTGGACTTCAGGAGAGCAGACTTTGGCCTCTTCAGGGGTCTGCTTGGTCGAGTACCATGGGATAAGGCCCTGGAGGGAAGAGATGCCCAAGAAATCTGGATAATACTCAAGGATCAACTCCTCCAAGCTCAGCAATGATGCAT